TACGGATTCTTTTATATGACCCCTAAAAGAAACGTGTTAGAAATATAAAGCATTTATCATTTTTACATAGCTTCTGAAATTGAAAATTTAGCAATTTTGTTAGTACCCGAAATTAAGCATCTCTATAGCAAAAAAGGGGTGCTTAATTTCGGAGGCATACGGTATTTATTTATTGATTGTGTAAATTTTTTTTGGATTCGTTTTTTTACAAAATTTTTAACTGCTTTGGATACAACCTGTGTACCATATGAACTTAATCAATAAAATCTGACAGATTGCTTAAAAATATTCAAAAGCTCATTGATATATTAAGGATTTTATTTATTTGCGAACTTTTACTGGAATTGGAACTATAATTTGACGCAAGTATAATTCTTTAGCTCCGATTCAGGACAATTTTTATTTACAAACATAATTACTTTATTGCTTTTGATCATGTAATATTGCATATACCTTTCCTAATTAAGGCAATTTACTTCAAGTTCTAAGTCTATTGAATAAATTTAACAATATCTTTTATTTTTGGTTTAATTGAATATTCCAACAGCGTTAGACTTTGTGTGTTAGACATGCTGATTTATTCATAATCACTCTAGTTGACAATTCATTTAAGCTAGTATTATAAGATTTATTAATTACGTCTTTTTTCTTTAAAAAGTGCAAATGCATTAGAATATGACTGTTTATATTTTAAAATTAAATAAATTGATCACGGCTGTGCTAGAATTATTGCCCCTTTAAAAATCATTTAATTGTAAAATTCAAATTAACAAAGAAATTGAGTCATGAACTAGTGATCTGCGGAAGATCGGAATATAACTAGACGGTAAATTAAAACCATCAGCCGAATCCTACCCCTTTTTATTGGGAAAGCACTTTTCTCGCGGTGCGTTAAAATTTAATTTTATTTAAATAACCACTCAATTAAAATATTTAAAAGCCAGGCTCGATTCTATTGAAACTTTTCACAAAAAAAAAAATAAGAATAATAATTATCTCCAAGATGTCTTCCAGCGGTAATAGCGTCAGCGTTTTGAATGCACAAATCAACGCGTCCTTGAATACTTTGGAAAAGAAAGTTGACAAGATTGTTGTTCCTCCTCCTGTCAACAAACCCACCGGGAGTCAATGCAAATAAAAGCTGGTATCAGAAAATAAATAACCTGGGATATTAAACATGACTTCTGTAATGAAATTTAACGAGTAAGTGGGCAACAGTTTTTTTTTTCGAAAATTTCCTGGAATTATCGTACTGTCATCCTTTATAACCTTTTTGTGATAGAAGTCGTTTATTTATAAACCTTATATTAATTAACCCAAGTTTTCATTAAAAAAAAAAAATTTAAAAAAATAAAATAAATTTATTCAATTTCTTAACCAATTGTCGTTAGCCCCAATTTTAAAATTGACATTAATAAAAATACAATAATTACGAAACGTTTATTTGATATTTTTTTTCAATGCCAGTGACCACTTATAGATGATGGTGCAGTACATGCCCTTCTCAAATTATTATTAATATGAAATGAATACCAAATGAGTTGAAGCATTTCAATAATTTCGCCTAGTATAAATGTTATTTGTTGAAAATGTATGATAATAATCTTCTTTTCTCAGACCACGTGTTTGATTTAAAGGTTGGAACCGACCAAAAATTCTTTAACCGGTTTAAATTAACTATCCAGTACTATAAATTTGGCTGGAGTTGAACAATATTTTATCTATCAATAAAAATCTTAATTCTGGCCGGAAATTGAATTTACCGGAGTTTTATTTATCTATTTTAACCGGTTAAAAAAAAATCATTAACCGCTTTATCCGGTTCCAATCTAAGTTTGATTTCTTATGTAAAGAGAAAACTGACAAATTTAAACGCGTTTCGTTACTTTATATTTTCAAACTTTACAAGGGCGTATTTAAAACAATATTTCTAGAAATTAACAGAATTTAACCTTCTTATCGATAAATATTATAATTTAAGTGGCATAACATGACATGCTGTAATATAAATAAATATTTTGATCCTTACGGAAGTAGTTATTGGTGCAATTTTAGAGTAATAAATATTTCTATATCACAAATTTATAGACGGGACGCATCACATGGAAAGTTTATTTAAATTGAATTGTGCTACTTGCATCCAAAATTTACGAACATGCATTAAGTATAACAATTTTATACAATTTAACTATATATTTAATATAATGATATTAGTTTATATCACCCATCTTTTCCATTTCTAGTTTCTCGTGCTCCAGTTAATAAATCAATAGTCTAGTCTTCAATTGTAATTCCAACTTTGAGGCTTGAAAATTTTATTAAGCATGCCGGCACAATGATTAGAACAATTATTCAATTATGGCAGCATTGATCATTAATATTTAAATTATTAATTGGGATATCTGAAAGTTTATCTTTTTATAGGATTTTATAAATTATAATTAAAAGCGACAAGATCGTAATGTTTCATGTGTATATAATGCGGGTATATGATAATTAAGCTTTAAAAAAAATTTATTTGATCGACTGAAAAAGAGATTCGAAATTCGGATTTAAATCCGGATACGATTTTTAAAAATTAAATAAATCCGGAAATAAAAAAACCCGGTTCCAAATTTAAAACCTGCTCGATAAATAATGTAATATTTTGAAACTTTGTTCTAATTTAAAATAAAAAGCAAAAAAAAAAATCGTTTTATATTCTACATCGAGATACAATAAAACCGTAAATTCGCAAATTTGTTATCGAAACTTTCGAGACCCATCGAATCTGTCGAAAAAAATTTCTGAAAAGTTTCGACATTTGCCATAATGGATTTAGGTTTTGCCTCGCAACTAACTATCACATACAATAACGACAACTTCGTAAACTTTCGCAACACCTAATATTAATAAAAGCAATTTTAGGTATACATAAGCATTCTTGCATTTTCACCAAGCTTGGGTGTTTCTCACTAGAAGGAGCTGAGAAAGCAACATTACTGAAAGCTGTAATGACGATAATAAGCATGAAAATGTGAATTTTCATGATGACTTTGGAAGTATCTGAAGGATTAATATGATAATATGTGAATTTTATTAACAGATTCTAGTGGGAATGTAGCCTAAAGACGTGTATTAATAAGCAAATCAGATTAGGGTTACAATTTAATTTATTTGTTGTCTGTTGACAATGTGATGTGATAACAAAATTTCCTCACTATATATAGTTTTTTTTTAAGTATCAGGCTTATCCTAATAAAGAAAGAGCGTTTCTCCCACAGGCGATAATTTTTCAATACAGCGTTCATGTTAATTTTAGTTAGACGATGAAAATCAATTCCGGCCAGTTCGCAAATGGGATATTGATGTTGTAATGGCATTGTTTGCTGTAACTAAGCAAGAGGCTTTGGTAATGTAACTAAGCCAAGAAGCATTGGTAATGTAACTAAGTAAGAAGCCTTGATAACATAACTAAGCCAAGAGGCTTAGAAACTAAGCCAAAAGGCTTTTGCAATGTTATAATAATAATTTTTTATTTCAATAACAAATTATATATATATATTGATATGTAGTAAATAATTAAATAACAGATACTGTTTCGTCTAATATAATTCCGCCCGAAAGATCACGATTTATGCTCAAATTAAGTAAACACTTTTAGTTAAATATTCAATATTTTGTATACTATACTACTTGAATTAATTGCTTTCGACTGACAATCCTGTATTAAATTATCAATTTTATTATTTCCTGATGTCCATACTGAAAATTTTGATATTAAATTAAATGTTATATTTGCATAGTATATTTCTTGCGTTTTCTTCATTTACTTTCTTACATAGTTGCTTAAAAACATCAAAATCTTTGCATAAAATAAATTGTACTTTTTTATTTTTAACCGTATGATGGTTTTTCTATCGATAATGTTCATGTGATTGTTAAAGTGTTGTCGGTAGGAATATTAAATTTATCAGACTATATCCACGATGTTTATTACAAAAAATGATGTAATGTCCATTCGACGACTTTATTAGCAAACTCTTTCCGAAATTCGCAATGTGATCGCCGTGATTTCCCATTTTTTTTTAGAATTGAGTGAAAAATCCTATTTGTCACGTTATTTGTAACTTGATTAATTTCGTCAAGTTATATATTGCCGGCCAATAATCACGTGGGAGTGAAAAACTTTGTGGTAAATCATTGACTTCCCACGTGATTTGTATTTTAGCCCGACAGAATTATTCTCTCACGCAGTTCTTTTATTCAAAAGAAACAAAATATTGGTATAAATGGAGGAAAATTATATTTTTTAATTTTGTGTGATTAATGGACCAACCGACCAATAATCGACTTCGTACAACAAAAAGTTTGCGGAAAAATGAAAAAGATTCCGGTTTGATAAATTTATTTTAGTTCAACTAATGTATTTTTTTTTCTTTCATCAAATAAATCGCCCTAGAGAAAAAAATCGCCTACAGAAAAGGAAAAAAATAAAAAAAAGGAATTAGTAATTAGTAATCCCAAATAATGCAAAAAAAAAAAAGATCCGTCACTCACCGCCGTGACGGACCGATCAGTCCGTCACGGCAAAGGTGAGTTTGTTGTTGATTTTTTCTTTTTATTTGCATTGTGTCTGATTACTAACCTTTGCTATTTTTTTTTCTCTTATCTTTTGTTTTATCTAAGACGGATGGTTAGTCTAATCCAGATCTCGGTCGGTTCGATCGGTCCGTCGCAATGAAGGTGAGTGATTTTCTTTTTTTTGTTTTTTTTTTGTATTGATTGGGATTACTAATTCCCTTTTATTTTTTTTTTCTATTCTCTAGAGGCGATTTCTTTTTTTTAGATTCAAATCGGGTGTTTCGTCACGATGGTTCAGGTGATGAGGATTTGATTCTTTTTTTTTTGTTATTATTTTTTGTATTGTTTCATTACTAATATTTATTTTTTTTATTTTTACATTGATTTCTTTTTTTTTTCCCTCTAGCTTTCGTGCTATCGGTTCGGAGGGTTTATGTAATTTATTTCTTTTATTAATATTTTAAATTTTTTTTTTTAGCTTTCGATCAGTTTTTACATTTTTTTATTTGTTTTAATTGAAACAACGCTGTGAAAGTGTTAGAAATACCAGATGCAAACCCCTCACGCTGATTACTAACAGGATTGGTAATAACACGTTGGATGAGATTTTTGGACCTAACACGAACGTGGATGATCCATACGATGTATATGAATTGAGAAATATTACACCTCGTCCTACAGTTCGATCTAACAATACGCAACATCGATCTATAGGCAATATTCTTTTTCTTCTTTTTTCCTAGCTTTCGATCGGTTCCGTGTGATCAGTCCGTCACGGCTAAGGTAAGTGGTTGTTTTTTTTTCTAGCTTTCAATCGGTTCAGTGCGGTCGGTCCGTCGCGGCAAAAGTAAGTGACCGGGAATTTTTTTTTATTTTATTTTTTTTTCCTTCTACTTCCTACTTAGTTTTTTTTTACATAGTTTTTCTTTTATTATTATTTTAATTTTTTTTTTAGCTCTCGATCGGTTCCATGCGACCGGTCCATCTTGGCAAAGGTAAGTGACCGGGGATTTTTATTATTTTATTTTTTTTTTCTACTTTCTAAGTTATTGAGATAAAATCCAATCATAAATGTTTTTATAAAATTGAACGATAATAAATCTAATGAATTGAAACAAAGCAATATTAATGTAAGGTGCTTTTACTGATCAACAAATTCTAAATATTTAAAATATCATATTTCATAATCACAAATTCTAATAATAATTCTTTATATTATAAAGTGTTTTTAATTATGCTATAATGATGATGAAATAAAATTTCATGCAATGTACTTTGAAGTTTAAATATTGATCGTCCAGGTCGTATTGATCGGATTGAAGATTAATTCTAGGATAAAATATAGAGGCTTTTCTCGAATTATAATTCTGATTCGAACAAAAAAATCCCAACGAAACCGAAAATTTCAAATTGCTAAATTATGTTTTTTGCAATAAAAATATACTTCCGAATATTAAAGATGCAGTTATTTCAAATATAAACATAAATAATTATATACAAACTTCATTTTTTACATTAAAAAAAAGTCTGAGACGAGTTTAAATGAAAAGAGCTAATTAAAGATGCTTTCAGACTTCAGAGGCGAGATATTAGAAAAATAACTAATGAATTCCGTCCTGAATTTCGTAAACGAGAGGAAAATAAATTTTAGCGTTTTACCATTTGTAGCATTTTAAGTTTTACTTATCTAATCTATTGATAGATATATATAGTTCTCCTGAGATTACTTAATTATAAATTAAACAATTTAATATTAATTCCTAAGCTTATAATATTTTAGGTCATCTAACTTTATATCTAGTAAAAACAAATGGTAGAAGATGGATAAATTGAATAGACATACTACATTATAAATAAATAAATCATAAAATTTCTCACAATCCTAATGTTTTTAATAACTAAAAAAAAAATTTTAAATTTGCCATACTGCATAAAAAGATTGGCCAATTTCTTCGAGTTGTTTTCAAGCTATGTAATCAGCTTCTGAATAACATCCTCAAAGTTTCTTTGATTAAGGATAAATTCAATAATTTAGTATATCGATATTCTAAAACTTACTTGAAGTATATTACGTAAGTTATATGGCTAATCCTTTTATCTTGTGTACCCTTCAAATAATCACTCTTAGCTATGAATAATTTAAGTATGAATATAATATAATTTTGAATTTGAAACAGTAATCTATTATAATAACAGTATCACGATTGCGTTTTCATATCGAATTGCGTTACTCTTTTTAGTGCTGGAGCAATTCAAAAAAGCTGAAGACTTCTAGTAAATACATCACTTGAATCTTTACGGAAGTAATTTTGCAGCATAAACGGCAGCATCATAAGTGATGACCTTGTCACGGTAAATAGACTTGTTTAGTTCTTCACCATTAAAGGATTCAGATACCATCTTTTGAATCTTGAATATACGTGTTGAACCACCAATCTAAAACTGACTTTTGTCGATTTTAGAATTTCGAAGTAATTTTTCATTTGGCTTATCGTAAATCGAAACAAGTATTAATTCAATTCTTCAACATTGGCCCGCCTTAAATAAGTATAGAAATTGATATCCTTGAAAAAAAGAATCCATTTAAATGAAAGTTCTTTTTGAGTTTGAAAGTGTACATTTTGCGCGTTCACATGCAGTTTATAATCAAGGAGAAAACATGCATTCGTTGTAAAATCTTTCTTAAAGCTAGATTTTGAATGTACAGTACTTAGTATCCTTAATGAGGCAACCGCAGCAACTATTGCTTATGATTTGGACAAGAAAGCACTTGATGAGCTAAATGTTCTTATATTTAATCTGGTGGTGCTTCTTTTAATGTCACCCAATTAACTATTGAAGTAGAAATTTACGAAGTAAAGATGACACGCTTAGAAGTGAAAGTCAAACCAGCGATTAAATAGGCACCTTTTATAGCAAGGCGTTGAGAGCTACTAAAGAAATCGGCATCGTACCAAGAAAAAGCTCCTTCAACTATATCAATACCATGGAAGAAATTTTTAGGTAAAAATCTTCTTTTCAACTTTGTATTCGAGCTGAATATAAATAAACTTTCAATTCTTCCTATGATTTTGAATGAAGGAATTAATATATACTTATTGTGATAAAATTTGGCTAAACAATGCATGAGTTTGTATTTTTATTTTATTTTTATTTTTTCTAATATTTCATTAATTTTTTTTTTACAAAAAAAATCATAGGTTGATAACTAATTTTTTTGAAAGTAAATATTGAAGTGATTTTCTTGAGAGTGTAACGATAATCGGAATTCCGCGAATTTCGATAACTCTGTACGTCCAATATGCTTGTTTGTGCTAATCAACAAATAAGTATGTTTATTACACAGGTATAGCTATTTAAGCCGTATATTTGAACTTTTTGACAAAGCTTTAATTAAAAACATATAAACAATCGAGAAATCGAGATGAATAATTTCAACTCTGATATTGATTGGTTAGAAAGAGCGATATCGGAAAATTATATAAAGTATTATAATTTACAGATTTCACTAATTGGGAAGAAGTTAGCTGCGTTTCTTATGGAAATGTTTCATGCGCAAACTGGAAAGGTTCTGAAACTATCATGGCTCTAAAACATTCTTATAATTTGTCTATTAAAGAGATGGTCAATGAGGTAAAAAGTCATTACAAAAATTTATTAATTCATTAGATCTTACTTTAATCATATGTAACATTTGAATGGGAAGAATATAATTACCCATGTGATTGACTTTTCTACATACTTTTTTATTTTAAAAAATAATCTAAAATCGT